CTTACTTTGAAACAACTGATCAAGCCACTTGGCCTGAAATTAAACAAATCTGTATCAAAAAATTATATATTATAAAAAATATTTGATAATAGATTATATTTTCTGATCTGTACCTACCTCTTGGTCAAATGATTGGTGAGGAGCTTGCTGCAGATCTGGTTCAAGAAAGTTCATTCTRGAGTAGAAAAAATCCTGCAYACAAACAATGAATTARCATGATATTAGTTTGACTATGTGGCTGTCTATCTGTCTGTCAGTTTGTTTGTTATTCCACAAGTACCACGGTATCTACTATAGATATTTGCAAGTCTATTCTTGGTTTGCATATGATGTCATATCTGCCATTTTTTAGTATACATAAAAAAAAGACTTGATTTTTATTAAGGCCAATATAGACTGTACAACTTTTGCCTACAACCATTRCATGCAACCTGTGTAAGTCATCCTTACAACATGGCTACAACATGGTTTTAGAGTTATTAACAATACTATTGTTTTTAATCTTTACAAGAGTTGTAGCCATGCTACAAAGAAATGTACACCAACATGGCTGTCATATCTTTTGATTCATATTTCTCATAGGATTCACAGACATTTGACACTAAACCAAGAGTTCTCCAGCTTGTTGAAGAATGCATATGCCTAGATATCTTAGCAAGCCTGTATAAGACTATCTCTTTGTATTTGTCCATCTATCTACAGTGTGCCAAGCAATATTGTTCTACCTGGATGTCAGTGAGACCGCACTCTTCTTCTGCTAGTTGGATCAACGGTTTGACAGCATGTAGCAATGTTGTTGTACCACATGTCTTCAACACAACACGGGTCTTKGATATAAACATGCTACTCTCGCTAAAAACACAGTATAACATGCACCACATTCAAAATATAGACTGGGTTTCTGGTAGCCTGTAATTTTTCTTTCTTTTTTATGACATATTCCATGGTTAGCAATATATCAATAATTAGTAATTTAATATAAATACCTTAGCAGATAAGCTATCATGTCATCATTTCTGGTTTCACTGATAATTTGGCAATTGACCAAGCCAAGGATGGTTTCCCATTTCTCYCTGTGGAAGAATGAGAATTTCTGGTGGAAYATTATTTTTACCTTCTTGTTTGTTAGACTTATATTCACAGTTTGATAGCAATGAACAGACGATGAGTGTGTACTTTGCATACTATATATATTTAAATATGTATCCATCCCTTAATTATACATGCGACATTATAAAATGTTTGATATATAAACGTGCGCTCTGATTGGCTGATGACCATGTTTATATCAGAGGTGAGAGATACGTCTTACTGTTTTGGTCGAAAAACGCAGAAAAATTTAWTAAAAGAACTATAAAACGGCCATTTGTGTCTCTATATATAAACACGATGGAAGTTGAAAAGCACTCGAGAAGCAAGACATGCTTCTCTCTTGTTTTTCAACTCCCGCAGTGTTTAATAAGATGACAGGACGGAGAGACGTACGGTTTGTGATAGTGGTTCGCCAATTTCTTACATAATTTATTAATATAATATTCACAATATTAGCCGTGAATATTTTCCTTAACATCATGCAACATACATTTGCGATTTAATGAAGGGAAACATAAAGCCTGCTTTCCGAAAATGGATCACAAACACTCTAATAACTTGGAAGATCAGATGTAGTTATGGTTACATTTACACTCCAATTAAAATTTTACCAAAATATAGTTTAATTGTTCTACGGTATACATCTAAAAACAATCAATTTGAAATTAAAAATAATCTAAAGATGAATGTCTGCAATCAAGAATTATTCAAGCCATAAATGAAAGCTTTCATACCTTGGAACTGTTCTCAAGTCGCCRGATTTGCTTGAGCCATRCTCGCTCCCCCACCAGATTTCCATCAGCTTTTCCGGGCCTTCAAAAAAGTCAACTTCACACATGATAGCATAGAGACCAAAGGCCCTACAGAGTTACAATACATGCAGGTAAAAGCTCACAAAGCAAGGAAATACGAGCAAGAACACAAGATGTATTTTGAAAGGTAGTCGAACACTTCTATGTTAACCGTGAGGTCTACCCGTGATGCACTATGAATAAGAAACAGGTAGCCCAATTCAAAGTTTCATTGTTTTTTATTATTATTATTTATTTATCTTTAAGCCAAATGGTCATAAATACGCTATGAATGCTTAGAATCAGTTATTTAAAGAATAGAAATTAATATAAATGCTTATTCATTGACGAGGAATGCCCTTAATTTTTTTCATCGAATTTYAATAATTTTGCGTTCCAAAAACCACGTGACCAGAGCAGGAATTTACAAAATGGCGGAAGGCAGTGAAAGCGAAAGTTGGTTTAACAACCTCTCCACTCTCTCTAAAGAYGCAATAAGACAATGCATCGCCAAATGGGAGTTTTTAGAAAGTACATACAGGGAGCAGATGTTAAAAAATCCTGAAATTGCATCGAAACTTGAGTCATTTTTACGCGTTTTATCGTATCTTCTTCCCGGTCGTTTTGGGACCTCGGAGGCCTTCGCTGAGCTTGTGTACTCAGCGTCTCAGTTGCTTACCTTGATGCACGATGGCGTCTTTAGACAAGGAAAAGGCATAAAGATTTGTAATAGTGTAAAAGATGGGGGCAAGCTGGTCGTTTTGCTAACCGTAGTCGAATATCTTGAAGTGTTCATCGAGCTTGGTGCTGAGAAGCTTCTGGGGGAGGCAGGCAAATGGTTTATAGTAGTTATCATCCAGATCTTTAAGGCAGCTCTAAGGTTCGTACTGTTGTTGTACTACAAGTCTGGTATACAATGCTCCCCCCTGATCCCACCGTTAGATCGCTCTAAACTTCTGAAAGAAGAACAATCTGATGATCGTAGTCACCCAAATAACGGGGAGGCAAGCAAAGTAAAGGTTTTATGGCATGGGTCAAGAACAAAGCGTAGAGTCCGTACCTTAATGGCTGTCCCTGAAGATGGTTTTCGCTCCTGGACGCTGCCTCAGCAACAGCAACAGGAACCATCAACAGCCAGTAATCAAACTGAGACAACAACCGAGTTRACTAAMTGGCAATTATTAGGAGAGAGTTTGTACATATCCCGTCCAATTATTCACCTTKCAAGTATGTTCCTATTCGGACAGAATTCCTGGAAACCATGGTTACTAKCRTCCACAGCTGATGTTTCWTCCYTGGTATTACTGGGTGACTCAATGAAGCTAAATGCAGTTGAAAGAGCYGAGGTGTCTAGACGAACTGTCCTGTTGCTGTTCTATCTGTTGAGATCTCCTTTTTATGACCAATATTCCAAAGTGAGAATAATTGGTTTGTTGAGGTATTTGAGCAACACTGTTCCYGGCGTCTCTTTGTTGTTGATTCCCCTGCTGGAATATCTTCCAACTTGGCAGAAAATTTACTTTTATAACTGGTCTACATAATCGGTCTTCCTGTGGYAAAGACCGAATACCTGGTCAGCGCTCCTTCACCATAAATTGACAATCAGTTAAAAAAAGGCAAAGACACTTGAAGAATAGTATGTTTACTCAAGGGAAACGTTAGGTTTGATAGCAAGTATTACAATGTAGATTGAGTAACAAGTGCTGTTATGATAATGGCYTTCCTTGTGTTTTTAATACTGGATGATAACCACCACATGAAACCTGCGTAAGTTGTCCCTGCAACATGGCTACAAGTATCATAGGGATTTAAAACAATTGCTCAATAGCCYCACAATTGTTGTAGCCATGTTGTAGGGATGGTATGGTTGTAGGCAAAAGTTGTGTCTTCTAATTTGGCGTTTATTTATTTGTTGTTTTGGAACTTCTAGACTCATTCCCAGGCTACTCTCCAGCTCAAATCCAAGATGGTGGATGCTGTTGTTCTCTGAGGACCAGAGACATCAGTATTTCATCTAGACCCTATGTATTGGCACTTTAACTAACTTCTCTGTATTGGAGAGTCTTACATAAAGTACTAGCCACCAAAGAGACAAGTGAAAAGTGATTTCATGCTGTATAGGTCGAGAGTGGCCTGGGGACTAGACTATGAATGTATAGCCTCCTTTGCAGACGTTATTTAGTATCAGTCATACGTTCCCTCTCCACACACTAGAGCGGATTTCGTATGAGTGGGACACCGTTACCGCACAGTTACCGGACCTGGCCTGCACAATTTTGGTGAACCAATGGGGCACTAGAATTTGGTTACAGTACGATTACGGTCACAGTACAGTAACGTCTGTTTCCCACTCATACGAAATCCGCTCTAATAACGTCTGCACAGGAGGCTAGTGATTGTATCACTAGGTTCTATAGTTTTGATAGTTAGCTTGTACAGCATACTTTGTATCTTAAACTATTTTAATAGTATGTTCAACAGAGACTTGTATTTTTGTAGATTAGCCGTGATAGAGTGATGCATTAGACATCTTACAATCATTTGCATTGCTAAA